TTTCAAAGACGTGAGGCTTACAAGAATTGTGTGGACTTGTGAGAACTGACCCTTGGTATACTACCATAACAAATAGACCTCATTTTTGTTTTTCTAGGTTTTTTTCTTCCTTGGAAAAATTAGTTTTTAAGGAATATTTCATTATCAATCCTTCTTAGATGTCCTTTTATTCCTTTAGAAGTTTTCCAAAGAAAAACATCTGAACTATATTCTTGATATATATTTTTAAATTTTGTGTGTACGTGAGTATATATGTGTGAGTTATGTGTATGTGCACAAGGGAAGGGAAGGGCCAGGGAGACAGGAGGAACATTTCAAGTGCCCTCCTCTATTACTCTCTGCCTTGTTCCTTTGAAGCAGGGTTTCCTGCTAAACCTGGAATTCATATTTTTTCAGCTAGGCTGGCAACTGCAAGCACCAGAGATCTTCCCATGCTCAGATTCACCCTACCCCTCCACTCCTGGGGTTATAGAAGTACACAGAACCATGTCCAGCTTTTTGTCTATTTATGTGGATGTTCCAGTCCTTACCACTTGCACAAGCACTCAACTAATGATCCATCTCTAAACAATACAGTAAAACTCCATCTTGCAGTTGTCATGTGGGCCCACTGAACTATTTTTCCCCCTTTTATACACAAGCATTTTATTTTTTTTTAACTTTTACAAAAACTTTACTGAGAATATCATACATGCATATAAGGAGTTTTGATCAAATCCATGACCACTCCCTCCCCTCTAACATTCCCCCTGTTAAACACAAGCTCCCAAATACATTTGATATTTTTGGCCTTTGGAACAGAGTGTGTTGCTAACAGGCCCAAGAACATTTTGACTTTTAGCCCAGAAATTGGCTACATTTCATTGGGGTCTTTTTATCCTAACTGCCTATCCAGTTCCTACCTCCTATTCTTATCATGCCATCTCTGAAGGGGTTACCCAAATTGCCAATAGGGAACAGGGACGAAGATCACTCTGGCTTCTTCCATGCTGAACAGGGACACAGGGTGAGGCAACTGGAGTACCCCTTCAGCGGGTGGAGCCTGATCACTAAACAGAGTCACAATTGGGCTTGTTGATGGTTGTGCTCATTCATTAAAGGAGTGCCAAGCAGGGTCACTGGACCCTCACCTGATTATCCACTGAACTATTTTATGCATCTGATGCATTATTGGACCATATTATTATTTTTCCTTTATCTACAAAGCTATTTTATTATCCTAGGTTTTATCAGTTCTCATCATTTGTAAATTATTCCAAATCATGCTAAAATTATCTTATACTAAAATGCAGTCATTTTTAAAAGAGAAAAAGAAAGAAAAATGGGAAAACTGCCTACAAGACAAGTCAGCAAATATTTTGTTAAAGAACCTTCTGACAAGTATTTCAGAGCTGTGGACCACACTGTCTGACGGTACTCAACTCTCCTGTTCTAGTTCAAAGCAATCACACATGAACCTAACCAAACATGGCCTCACTCCAATAAACATGTATTGCAAAAGCAGGCAGCCAGCAAGTTGAACTTCTCCAACACTTGACCTACAAGCTTGATGCAGAGTGAAATTATTCAACACCCAACTTTCATGTCAAGCTGCTCAAACAGTTACACCATCTTTTAAAGCCTCTTTCTCCCTCCCTCCATCCCTCCCACCTCCTCTCTTTTGACTTATTTATGTTTTAAAGTGTATGAGTATTTTGTCTACATCTATTTAAGTACATCCGTGTCACGTGATGCCCTTGGAGGCCAGAAAAGGGCATCAGATCCACCTGAAACCGGAGTTACAGCTAGTTGTTAGCCACAACATGAGTTCTAGGAATAAAACCTGGGTCCCCTGCAAGAACACCCAGTGCTCTTAACTGCCAAGCCATCCTTCCAGCCCCAGTTTTTCTTTCTTTTAATTTACAGACATCAGCTTTGCAGTCTTCATTTTTATTTCACTGAATATAGCCATTAAATCCACAGTTTTCGTTTTCTACTCATAATAGAAAAGAGAAGAAGAGTGGCAAAGAAAGATACTTTATCATGGCTAAAAACATCAAAAGATGGATTATCAGTCAAAAGCTGATAGCACTGAAGACAATAACAATGGTGAAACCGTGGTCATCCACATGATGTTTCACACCAATGATTGGTAAGATCTGAAGTGAAAGTACTGCAACATCACAACTGATCTGAGAACAATGTGTTTCCTTTTTCTCTTTTTTTAAAAAAAATATGCTTTGAAATTTTCATAGATTTGTACAATGCATCATGATCATATCCACCCCCTACTCCTTCCCTCCTTTCCCTAACCCTTCTCCCCAATATATCTCCCTTTTAGCTTCAAGTTCTCTCCCTACCCGCCCCCCTCCAACCCACTGAGGCCACTTAGCACTGAACATGTGCATGTGGCTGTAGGGTCATCCTCTGGGGAAAGGGCAACCTGCCACTGACCATCCCCCCTGCAGCCATCAACTGCTAATACTCCTTAGCTAGGCATAGGAACCCTCCCACTCCATGCTTGAATTTTTAACTGGCCTTACCTTGTGCAGATGTTGAACAACTAATGGTTTGTTTATTCCCCAGGAAAAGGGAAACTAGGTATTTTCATTTAGTCAGTCATTCAAATAAAAAGACCTTATCACCTAGTATTTTGTAAAAACAACCTGGATATTTTTCATGCTTAAAAAAAAAAATATCATGCAATGCCTGTCATCATTACAATATAACTATACATCAAAATTTATATGAAAAAGATTTGCTGTGTTTAAATGCCTATTAAAATTTATAATAATGTTTCCACTATTCTATAAATTCTTAATAAGATCTAACTTAAAATTATAAAAATGCAAAAAATGTCCCATAGGACTAAGTTGGTAAATAGTGATGACTTCCTTTGGAACACTAAAAATTACAGTATTAATATTCTTTTGAAAACAAGCCATGTGAGCTAGACAGGCCATTTTCCCTCTTTAGACAAGGGAAGAGAAGCCTGCCCAGGCTGCGGCTCACAGGAGGTGCACACTGTGGCCGGTACACCTCTACAACCACAACTGCCTAAAGCATTAGTGAAAACATGTGCCAGAGGTAGCTCTACAGGGTATGAAAAGAACCTGATTGGAAAAATTCTGCTAAAAAATATAAAATGACAATAATCTAGAACATGAACCAAACAGTGAGTAGAAAGCTGTCAAAAATTTGAGAAACTATTTTTTTTATTTATTTATTTTAATATTTTATATATTATTTTTATTTTATGTGTATGAGTGTATTGCCTGCATGTAGGTAAGTGCACCCGTGTCGTGCAATGCCCGCAGAGGACAGAAGAGGCGGTTGGATCCCCTGGAACTGGAGTTACAGACAGTTGTTAGCTGCCATGTGGGTGCTGGGATTCAAACCCAGGTCTTCTGCAAGAACAGCCAGTGTTCTTAACTGCTGAGCCATCTCTCCAGCCCCAAGAAACTATTTTTTAATACCTCAATACATCCACAGCTCAACCCATCTATGTTTTCTCCAGCAATTCTTAGTTCAGGAAATTTCCAATTACATCCTGGCAATTTAACAGCATATTTTTGTCAATTAATAAAAACAATGTACTTTAAAATATAGCAAAGTCATGTGATTTACTCTTTTAACATTAAGTGAATAAAATGAAATATAGTACACTGTTATTCAACCAACTAATGAACTAATATTTTCACCTGCATATTTAAAAATAAAACTGCCTTAAATTTCTACTGAAAGCATACTGCTTTGGTTCTTTTGTCCTATTGCTCCCAATGAAAGATTAAGAAAGTACCCATTCAGAAAATCATTACATGAAATTTATTCACAGAAAATATGTAACTTCGCCTTCTTATTCATGTTATAGTCATCGTTTTATGCTTCTAAAATACAGCTTATGTTATCAACGCCACAAAAACAGCACCATTCATTAATACAAGAGAGATAATAAAAGTCGGTTGAAGCTAGACAATGTTATATGCCGACAATCC